TTCTTTTCTCTCCTCTCCTCTCCTCTTCTTTTCTCTCGTTTCTTTTCTTTCTAGACAGGGACTCACTCTATCACTCAGGCTGAAGTGCATTGGCATGATCTTGGCTCACTGCAACCTCCACCCCCTGGGTTCAAGCAATTCTCCTGCTTCAGCCTCCCGAGTAGCTGGGACTACAGGCGCCCGCCACCGCGTCCAGCTAATTTTTGTATTTTTAGTAGAGACAGGGTTTCTCCATGTTGGCCAGGCTGGTCTCGAGCTCCTGACCTCAAGTGATCTGCCCACCTCAACTTCCCGAAGTTCTGGGATTACAGGTGTGAGCCCCTGCACCAGGCCCTCCACATGCTTTTTATCATCTACCAGCTTGCTGACATTGCACACTAGCTGTTCTTTACCTTTCTCTTTGACTTTGTCCATTTGCGTCTTTTACAGTTTTTCTTTACTCATTTTCTAGTGGGCTTTATGAGAAGGAAAGAATTAAATTCATGTGTTCAATCCAACCAAAAGTCCCCAAGTCCTTCTTAACTCTTACCTTCAGAAATACACTTCGCCCATTGTTTTCCCGTCAAAGAGGAAAGTATGTCAGTATAAACAGACTGCAGTTTAAAGCAAGGAAATTACATTTTTCCCTCTGAGAAGGATTTTGCGTCCCGAGGAATAATTCTGTAGAGGCAACAACAGTTATTGGAGTCACCACATGAGTTAAATGCTGGGGATACCAAAATTAGCAAGGTGTGATCTTTGCTTTCAAAAATCTTATTCTAGGCAGTGGCTCATGCCTGTAATCCCAGCATTTTGGGAGGCCAAGGCGGGAGGATCACTTGAGCCCAGGAGTTTGAGACCAGCCTGGGCAACATAGGGAGAAAAAGACGCAAGCTCCGTAAGCAGAGAGACCTGCGTGCACATTTTGACTGAGCCCCTACCTTGTTGTGTAGCATTAGGTAACTGATTAAAATGCTCCTGTGCCTTTCCACAGCATAACACAAACAGCACAATAGGACCGCGAAAAGAACCAGACTCCCTCCTCTGTTACTGTGATGGAACAGGTTCAATTCTAGTTAACACTGAGTGTCATTCTGAGTGGTGAGAGACTGGGAAAGTCTGGGAGAATTTCCTCAGTGACTCTAGGATTAGGGATGGCCTGCGGCTGCATCTGACTTCCTGGAGCTACTTACGTCTGAACTCTGGTCTCATGAAAAATTCAAGGTTGATACATTTATAAAATTCTTTTTATTCTTGCAGTTTTTTCAAAGGGGGACATGGCAAAGATGTTCAGTTTCATCCTTGTTGTCACCGCTCTGATAATGGGCAGGGAAAGTTCGGTAAGCTTATTGTGAAAACTATTGTTATATTTATAATGCCTGCTTTTATCTGAATTTTCTTTCATTTTGCATTAAACCTATAGTGACTTGTCATTGAAAAAACTAAGGCGGAAAAGCAGAGAGGCTGGTGGAAACACTGGACCCGTAGTAAAGCAGCACTTCAAAGAGCTTTACATTTTTTTTTTTTTGGGAGTCTGAGGCGGGTGGATCACAAGGTCAGGAGTTGGAGACCAGCCTGGCCAATATGGTGAAACCCCGTCTCCACTAAAAAAAAAAAAAAAAAAA